ATGCACCACTACCTCTTTAAGTTTTGAGTTAAATGTTTTTACCTTAATCCGTAATTGCTTATTGTTGTTAGATCAAGCTAATTTTAATAAAAGTAATTGCTTTTTAAGCATAGTATGAGTTTTCCAGTAATTTGATGCATAAATTGTAACTTAGATGTTTTTTGTGGCTTAATATGTATTGAGTGTGCAGTGGGCAGACAGATTTGTTACTTTTGATTAAAATTATATAAAATATTTTGGAATTTTAGGTAGGAATGGTGTTCAGATTAACATTTGGTTTTGGTCGGTCTTAGGGGAAAGGGTAACATTTTAAAAATACAACTCATTCTCTTGATTACACCAAAGGTACAATTGAGAAGTTTGGCAGTTAAATTTTCATTACACTTTAACAACTCTATGCAATTTCCCCACAGAGCAAACTTGATGACTATCAAGCAAAGCTGAACAAAGGAGAACGCCTCAACCAGGACCAGCTGGTGAGTGGAATCTACTGTGAATATTTGGGGTTTATGTAGATTTGAGACTCTCTAGTTCTTTCTAAGACTTTGATCAAATCCTAAGGGCTTGGACCTGAGAGGAAAGCTCTAGATCTTGTTTTGAATTCACCTATCCTTTTATGATACACACATTTTTGTAAACTCTTATTGTAGTTTTAACATCCTGATTTGTTCTGGTATGATCTTTCAAAGATGACCTTTCTTGCACTCAAAAGCATCTTTGTCTCAGTACTCCTTGCAAATTTGTGCTAAATAAAGATTTATTGGTTCTTCCGTTCTCTCTTGATTACTTTGGCTTCATAGATGATATCTGGTTCTACTGAAGTATGATAGTTTTCCTGCAGAGGCCTTGTTATTTGACTTTTTATTCCTTTTCTGTTGGTGTTTAGGAGGCAGTGTCCAAGTTCCAGGAGGTGGTAAACAACCTCGACTTTGCCCGGGAACTGCAGAAGAGCTTTCTGGCTTTGGGACAAGATGTAAGCAGACAAGGTGTCAGGTTCACAGATGGCTGCTCTGTGCTTTTTTTTTCTCCATTTTCAGTAACAGCTGCACCAATTAATGCAGGCAGCTGTATTTGAGAAGTTCGGGGTTCCAGGGTACCTGCCATTTTCAAAGTTTCTCATTTGACTGAGCTGTCCTACAGCTGCATTTTTGGAAACCTTCCAACCGCAGGTGACTATTGCAGCATGAATGACCTGTCTGGCTGGTAAAGGTGCTTATTTGCTATGGTTTCTAGTATCTGAATTTTTAGAGATGTAACCAGCGCCGTGTTTTCATGGCCCTTCAGTGCAGGGTTTCTAATCTCATTTTTTTCTGGGGTTCAAAGAGTTTTTCCCAAATTCATCATTCCCATGCTCTTAAGAAAGTGAGAGGGGCTGGGAGCTTGAATAGGGAAGCAGTTCGAGGTGGTTTATCCAAAGTTAGAGTAGGGAGCTGCATCAGCATACAAGCTGCAAAGGAACGATTAATGGTTAAAACAAAGACTGTTTCTGCAGTAAAGCCTTCTTTATTCTTTTTCCTTTTTTTGTATAGAACACCTACTTTTCCTTCTTAAAATGTACAGTTTATTCCCTTATCTGGCAGATATGCGTTAATTTCTGTTAGTGGTATGTTCTGGCACCCCGCCGCAGGTTGATGTATGGTGTACAGTGTTATGTCATGGTCTTCTAGCCTAGTGAGAAATGGAGAGGAAGAAGGTGCAGGGCATGCACACTCGAAGATGAAGTGTGTGCAGGTGTTCCAGTAACACTGCCGTGCGTGTAGGCCCCGTGTCTGGCAGTAACGTGGCTCTGGGCCCCGCAGATCCAGAAGGCGGTGAAGAAGGCGGCGCGGAGGGAGCAGCTCCAGAGGGAGGAGGCCGAGCAGAAGCGCCTCAAGACAGCGCTGGAGCTCCAGTTCCTGCTGGACAAGCTGGGGGAGGAGAGCGTGCGCAGCGAGCTCAAGCAGGGCGCCGGCGGCACCCCGCTGCTCGGCGACGAGGAGCTCGCCGCCCTGGACGAGTTCTACAAGCTGGTGGGGCCGGAGCGTGACCAAAACATCAGGTGACAGAATGATGTGGGGGAACATGTGCTTCCAGAGATGAAGTACTTACTTTCTTTAGTGTGATTTATTGAATCGCAGAGAATGCTAGGGTTTATATACATCATGATTAAGTTCATTTTGAGGTGTAATGTATTTAGTTGTTGGTAAATATCATTGTAATTATGGTATCTGAATTTCATTTGGAATGAAATTTGAGGTGTTTCCAGTGCACTCAGGATAGGTGATGAGTTCATTAAAAAGATGTATACCACTTTTTTAAGAATCAGTGGGCCTGAATGGTTTTCACACCTCTTCGGCCTTTCTGATAAATAGTGATGCTGCTTAAGAAGTATTAACCAGATTGTGGTGTGACGTAGGATGCCTCAGATTTGCTAAAGTCATGTGTAATATCCAAAATCTGTCTTTTTGTATGTTAAAAGGTTGGCCTTTACCTATTGTTTTGTGCAATGACTTGCTTTTGCAGGCTGTGTGAGCAGTATGAACACGCATCCCTGCACTTCTGGGAGTTGCTGGAGGCGAAGGACAAGCCTGTGGCAGGAACAACATGTAAGTTTACTCTCGGGGTCAGCCATTGAGGCCTTACTCTTCTGGCTTCCATAAATTGGTGGCCTTACAAAACAGATTTTCCAGTCCTTCTGGCACATTGTTGTAGTTGTATTTGTCATGAGGCTTTTCTCGTAAAATTTCTCTCATAGAAAACCATTCAGCTGGGTCCCTCTATCTGGAGAAAATATGCTTCCTGAGTACTGATCATTGCAGAGATGTTTTTGCCTCCATAAATGGGACTCTCTCACTGCTTGCATTGGGGAACCCTTTACCGACTTGTCCACTCTAGCTTAATGCTCGTTTTCTGGTCATTTAACATAATGACTGCACTTCTAGACCTTTTTCAGGGGTGGGGATGTTTTTTTATTTAAAGCCCTTGGCCCAGAGGGACAGAAACTGCAGCATTCTGTGCCTGTGCCGAACGCAGGCTGGCTCTCCTGAGTCAGCAGCTTGGCGGACAGCCAGTTTCCTGCCTTCAGCAGCCAGCGCAGAGCCTGTGCTGAGAGAACTGCCTGTTGAGCACTCTCTGGAATTCTGTAGGCGACAGCAGCAGCACAGCTGTGCTGGTGGCCTTGCACATTCCACCATGTTCACATTTGCAGTGAGCACCTTTATTAAGCCACTTAGCAGGTTTGTCATAAAAAAAATTTTGGGGAAAAAGACTGCAGGCAGTGGTAGTATGACATAACTTAATGCAATAGAAATATCAGTTGTGGTAGCACCCAGGTTTGGGAAGAGAAGCCTTACAAAATATGGGACTTAGACACTTACTCTTTACCTTTAGGCTTTTGTTAATCGGTGATGTACAGCTTCTGTGAGCATGACGTACATCTTTGTGCATCGGTCAGCATATTAAGCACAGGGTTTGGTCTTGCCCCCCCCAGACAAAGCACTGAAAGAGACACTGGACAAGGTTCTTCAGAGTGGGTATTTCGACAGAGCCCACAACCATCAGAACGGGGTGTGTGAAGAGGAGGAGCAGCCGCCAGCAGTGGAGGCCTTGGAGGTGGAGGAGCAGCCAGCAGAGCCAGGTAAGCTTTCGTATTTGATGCTGTGTGTTAAACTTATCCACTGAAGAAACGCAACGCCTCTTGATAAGTTGCTTCCCCCCCAGTAGAAGCATTGTGTGACAGTTGAAACTTTCTCCTCTTCCAGAAAGTGAGGTTACTGAGGATTACACTGAACCCAGTGAAGTGGAACCCACAGAAGTAAGTGCTGTTCTCAGTGGCTACTTTCCCTCAACTGCTCTGTGATAATGCACTACTAAGCCTTTATTTGTTTTGTAACCATTCAAACTGAGTGCAGTTTGCTTCTGTTTTTATGCACTTTAGCATGTGGAGTACCATGAATTTGAGAGAGGGCAATAGCCAGACTATTAACTTTTCAGAACATAAACCTTTTATCTTGTTAAACACCAATTTACCAGTCTTCCTATGTTGAGGAAATGGACACTTCATGAGGGGGTGAGTTAACATGCTATTTAATTGTGCCTTTACAGTTTGTCAACAGACAGTACATTTCAGAGGCTCCATATAGCAGCAGTGACAAAGAACAAGGAGATGAATGGAGTTCGGAGACAGAGGTATGATGGCTAGAATGCTAATGGTGCCATTTGTTGCGGGTTCTGTGTTCTTTTTGAGCATTTCTGAGATCTAAGGGAAGTTAAGACAATTTCAGTTTTGCTGACCTAAATTATCAGGTCGTCCAAAATTAGTTATAATTACAGAAAGTTTATTACAGTTGTGAGTGCATTTAGAAATACATTTTGCTTTTTAGCTTGTGTGTATATATGTACACATTTTGAACCTTGATAAGATTTATCCCTGATGATGATGAACACCCCAGGCAGATGTGCTGAAGACAGTTTCCAGTTTTCACAGCACATGAAGTCATATATTGTGACTTCAGCTGAAAGGAAACAGGACACTTTGACCTCCAGTCTTAAGCTGTCTAGCACTGCGGTAATGATAGCAGAAAAATTGCAGCTAGGGTTTTACTCAATGTTTATTTTTTAGGTTGTTTGTGCCATTCAGCAGCAGCAGCAGCAGCAGCAACAGCCTGTGCAGCCAGCACCTCCCACAGAGCCCCACACGCTAAACCCCGTTGCCCCCACGCCTCCTGCGGACCCTGTGGTCAGGAAGCAGCGGGTACAGGACCTCATGGCACAAATGCAGGGCCCCTACAACTTCATGCAAGTGAGGACTCAGCTTTTACCGTTGCATATATACACTGAGTATGGATTAAAAACATGCAGCTTATTGTTGGTGAATTCAGAAGACTTTACTGTTGTAGCACCGAGACTGTTCAAACATTAATCCTAGTGAAATGAACATATCTGAATATCACATATGTAATTTCCATGTTTTTAGGCATGGCTTGGTTTTTGTGGGGGGCTGTAATTTCTTTGTGGATCACACTCATTTTATAGACCCTTTGGTTGAGCAACCTCTCTTGAGGGTCTTAAAGCACGCAGAGAAGGTGGAATGATGGATTTAATTGTCTGTGTAGGATATAGCTTTAACGGATGTTGATCCTTTGCTTGATGGTTGCTGCTCCCAGGATTCCATGCTGGAGTTTGATGGCCAGGCGATCGATCCAGCGATTGTGTCCGCACAGCCCATGAAGCCTGCTCAGAGTATGGAAATGCCACAGATGGTCTGCCCCCCAGGTAGATGGTTATGATGTGTTTTCCCCCATTGCCTGGAATTCTGTCAAGAGATTATTTTTTTTAATGCATTTCAGAGTGGTGGCTGCATCTTATCCTAAGTAGGACCATTTTATTTTGATCATGCTAGACACTTTTGGTTAACTGAGTAATTAAAAACATTAATTTGGCTGAAGGTGTTTTGGTAAGGAAAGGGCCTTCGAGTTATAATTGCAGTTCAGGTGTGTGAATTGTATATGATAAATCCTTAATGGTGTAATGGTACTATTGAAATAGTTTACAGTATTCTATGAAATTACAAAATTACATGGGTAGAAACTTTCTGTGGTTCCACATGTAGTTGTAGCTCTAGTTTAGAAATCTGTTAAGTATGGTCTTCTAGCTTTGAAGAACTCAAGAAAGTAGTAACTTTGTATGCGGGAATATTTTGGGAGAATATTTCAATTCACTTACATTATCAATTTCTTCTTGTAATATTAAGGGTTCAAATCTAAATGTAGGATTCCTTCTGGCTTATTTTTTTTTGTACAGTTCATGCTGAATCCAGATTGACACAACCTAACACGGTACCTGTACAGCCAGAAGCCACACAAGTAAGTTTAATCTTTTTACTTTCTAGGTTTAATGTGCATCTCAAATGTTTTTAAAAATCCTTTGAATCTTTATCTGAAATTGGCAAGTTTATGAAGTGGCAGAGCTTCCATTATAGCCTAGACCTTTGTTTCCAGCTCAGCATTGCAGATTTCTTTGGGTTTTATCCATCACTGAAGAATTGTACGTTTTGTAAAGTAGAAGTAGGTGCTGCACTGCCACATTGTTTGGAGAGTTTGCATCAAAACACTTATTTTGACCCCTTACTCAGGTCCCCCTGGTCTCCCCCACGCCTGAAGCTTTCTCTGCAACGCCACCTCTGTATCAGCCATCACACACAACAGATCCCCGACCGCAGACGGAAAACATTGACCCGATCCAGGTGAGAACATCTTATCGTGCTTTGCAGCCTGTGTCTGTTAAAATTGATCACTTGAATTAACAATTTTAGCACCATTAACTAGTAAGTGGAGTTCTTAGGTGGTAAGGTTCTAAGGTGGTTTTTAAAAACATTTATCTGCAAGTGCTCTGGAGTGGCTCAGCTGGCAAAGGTTATTATTGACCTATGTGACCCAGATATTGCAAGCCTTAGCCTGGGTCATATCACTGGGGGACAGTGACCAGGATTTCCTCGACTGGTGTATTGTTGCCAGTGTGCCCCCGGTGGTGGAGGCGGGCTTGGTCGTCTAGGGCTTTCTTTGCTTATGGAGTGGCGAGAAATGGCATCTCCTGTGACCTCCGAGGTGCTTGCAGTTGTGTTGGCAGGATACCACTTCTTCACTCATCACCAGCTGTCCTGCCGAACACTTGGGAGTTTTAAGTAAGTCAATAGATGGATCGCTTGATGAGTGGTCAGATCTGGAGAGGGGGCTTTTCCACATTCTCCCCATGCAGTACAGGAGCTGTTGCTGTTAGCTGAGACCTAGAGAAACCATCTGCTATTCTAAATTTGTGAAAGATAAAGGGTATGGGCTGAATTTAAACCTTCAGAGGGATATCATGCATCTGGTCCTGAATAAGTTTTACTATGTAAGTGCATAAACGAACACAGGAAGTACAGGAGAACAAGTTTTGGTTAAGGAATAGGTTCTTTAGTTGGTACCAAGGTGAGTACTAAAGTTTCAGTGCACGTCTGTTGACTTAAACTAAACACATTATATTGAGAGAACAGTTCCCATCGGTGAGGGAGCGGTTCACTTCTTGATGTGTGAAAGGAGATGCACAGTTTGCTCTTCCAACAGATATGTTCAGCTCTTGGGCGAATGGAGAAAGTAAACCCTGTTGTAGCTCTAACAAGAGGGTGGACTGCAGGTAAAGTGGGTTATGGACCTGTGAGGGTGAGGAAAGGTGGTCTTGTTATACCAGGAATGGTCCTGCATCACGTTCCCCCTGTAGTTCTGTTCAGCTTTGGAACAGAAAGGGTGCACAGACCTGACTACAGGTGGCTGATGTGTATAGATCTTCCACTGTCACATGCCCAGTTAAAGGGGATCTGATACAATCAAGTGTCAGAGTTGGGAAAACAATTGCATTGTATAATAATCCTATATATAGATTACTGGAAAATGTTTTGCTCAGAGCTGCAGTATGCATTTAATTAGGCACAATTTTTCAGATTTGAGGGATGTTTATGATTCATGACATTGATAGGTTTTTGTTCGGATGTGACCTGGATATGCAAATGAATGAGACATTAGAAAAACATAAAGCATTAAAATATGATGTTCTACACCTGCTTTGTTCACGCATTTCCACTGCCACGGTACGAGGGGGTGCTGTGTTGTTTTGTCATCATGCACAAAACCTCCACCCAGACCACAGTACCTTCTGTAAACAAATTGCTCTGTCAAGATAGTACGGTGCTCTTTGTAATAATTTTATCAGATTTTGAATAACTCATTTAATTTTTGTTAAACGTCTGTAAAACGTTTCCACTAGAATACTGCCAGAGTTTCAGCAGCCGGGCACTGTATGTTATGTGATTGTTTTAGTTGCATCAGACAGTTTAGTTTTTGCAAAGCAGTTTGTATAGGATTAGATGATTTTGTTATGTAAAGTTAGAAAAAATTGACAGTCTTGTGTGTACATGCTTGCAGGAACCGGTTATGTTCCCTCTGTATTTTTCTATCAAGCCAAAATGTCTGTGGCTTTAGTTATTGCAGAGTTTTTAAATTTAAATATCTTAAACTTACCTAGTAACTGAAATGTTAGGTTCAACAGCCATATAGTACTGTAGACATTAATTCTTGTGAAGCGATTATAAGGTTTGGATTTAATAAGATCACTTTATTAGCCATATACAATTTTTTGTATTAGGAATTTCTTTTTGCATGCCCCACCTTGCTCTCCATGAGACACTCAGGCACACAGACAGGGAGAGAAGCTTGGGGTCAGAGCGCAGGGTCGGCCATTTATACAGCGCTCCTGGAGCAGCTGGGGTTAAGGGCCTTGCTCAGGGGCCCAGCGGAGTAGGATTCCTCTGCCGGCTGCGGAATACGAACCCCACTGGCGCAGATCCTTGGCCACAGTGCCACCTCTCTGTCCCAGTGAAGCTGTGGGTGTTGTGTGGCACGTTTGTATTGATTGGAGCTGTGTCTGTGACTCCCCAGGCCTCTATATCGTTGACGTCGGAGCAGCCCCCTGCCTCCTCCGCCTTGCCTGCAGTGTCCCAGCCCCAGGTGTTCCAGGCTGTGCCCAGCAAGCCACTCCACAGCAGCGGCATCAATGTCAACGCTGCCCCATTCCAGTCCATGCAGACGGTAAGGAAGCTCTCTGCTTTAGCAGGCATCCCATTCCACCCTCTTCTGCAATGCACTGACCTTTGTGTGGTCAGCTTGAAATGTTATTTGTTTCGTCTGTTTTAATATCAACGGGTTCAAGGTTTTTTTCACCCCTTATGTACAACTTTTAAATTGTTTTTAGGATAGTGACAGAATAACCTGGGCTTTTTGACAAGGTAAGATTTCATCTACAGTAGTAGTCCTAGTTCCAGATCCTGCATTCGGATTCCATAGGTTTTCACAGGAATTCATGACCTCATAGTTCAGGTATGATACCTAAGCAAACTGAATGGGTTTAGATTTGAACCGTTTTGACTTCACAGCATAACTAACTTAGGTTTTCTTACCCCCCTCCACTGATGGCACATAAATGCCTCAATCTGGCACAAGGTTGATCTGTTCTAAGCCTTAAGCTATATCTGTGGTGAATGAATCATTCACTGTGGATGTATGAAATGATTAAGCTGGCCATGTCCCTGGATGACTTCAGCTGCTGATGTGCAATACTGCATGACTGCTTGCCAGGCTAACACTGGGCTTTGTTTTTGGTCTTGTTTGCTTTAATTGGGCTTTTAAAATTTGAAGCTCTTTTTTAATTTATTTTCAGAATCGTGTTTAATATTGCTTAAACATTTACTAGTCTCTCACTGGACCAAGTTTGGAAAGACCAGTGTTAATCATTTTTTGGCTGGTCCAGCTTCACCTTTAATAATGTGGCACTACACTGGGAGGATAACAGAAAAATCCTGTTATTGATGGAAATTTGAAACTAAAACTGAATATTTCTCTTTCTTCTGGGAAGACCTAATGATGTATTAAGTAAAAAGTGAAACTCAAAGGCCTGATGAAGTTGCAGATTGACACTATGAAGGGAAATAAGGACCTGTAGATGTTTCTCTACCACACCAGCCCGGAAGTCCTTTGCGAGCCTGAAGCCTGAACCAGCTCTGTCGTTCTGAAGGCACTCGGCACATTTCACGAGTAACTTTCACAGACAGCTGGGAAGGCCTGGCCGTAGTAGCACCCAGCTTACCCCAGCAGTGCTTTGCCAGTTACACCGTGCCTCTTGTGTAATCATGGTCCCAGGTGTAAGGTGATAAGCTCATCCTGTACTCTTAGAAATGGCCTTTTACTGGTTGGCCCATTCTCCCAGCTCCTAGAGGCAAGTCAGTTTTACATTGTATACTTTGTGGCTTGTAGATATTTACCCTTCTGGGATCATAGATTTATAAACAGAGGCCTGATTAAGTACCATACGGTTTATTCTTCAAGAACAATAACCGTGATGTTGCTTGTGCTTTGCTTTCCCAGGTTTTCAATTTGAATGCCCCCGTTCCTCCTGCCAATGAAACGGAGGCCTTGAAGCAGCCAAGCCAGTACCAGACAAGCTACAGCCAGAGCTTCAGCAGCCAGACGCAGCACCAGGTGGAGCAGCCTGAGCTACAGCAGGAGCAGCTGCAGTCTGGTGAGGGCAGGGAGAGGGCTGTTGGCAGGGTCTTGTACTTGTGACGTCACGGCTAAAAGTAGGAAGGGCCCAGCCAAGCCCCTTGGGACCTCTGAAGAGCAACTTTGAAACCTGCTAGCTAGGATTCCACTGCTTGCCATCTGTTACACCAGTGTGCTGTTCTTGGAAACATGGAAAACTTTTTTAGCTTGACTAATGGAGCTCTGATGCATTTATCTTTCCATGTTGGGGTGAATATTTTTCTAAGGTCCAGCAGATATCCAGATTTGCTTTTGGTTTTAAGGAAAATTAAAAGAAACAAACAAAAGTAAATGCCCTCTTAAAAAGAGCTTTAAGTCTGTAGTATATTTGTACTAATTGCCATTTTCTAGACCAGTTTTTAATCTCAAATCTCACAAATGGCTGTAGTGTTCCATTTTATTTTTTTTGCCGACTGAAGAGTGGGAAGGTGCTAATTAGATGTCCTGTTGTTGTCTAGTTGTTGGCGCTTTCCACACCCAAGACCAAACCATCCCGACCACAGCAGGTCACCAGCAGCTGTCCCAGCAGCCTCCGCAGCAGGGCAGTGGCTTCGCCCGACCCGGCCAGTCCTTCTACAACAGTAGGGCCATGTCTCGTGGGGGACCCAGGAACTCGCGTGGCATGATCAATGGCTACCGTGGACCCTCCAATGGCTTCAGAGGTGCTTGGGCTATCACTTACACAATTAAAACTTAACACCAACCCCGGCAAACGTCTTTATAGGCCGTGCAGTCCTGGATTAGAACAGGCTTCCTTTTCATGCTTTTGAATGTGGGTACTATTGATTCTATACCCATCTAACTTAACATGTTAAGGAATGTTGTTGGATCTTTTGCAGCTGATTTAGCCAGTTGGAATGGCTTTAATGACTAGAGTACTGTTTGTGTTTGATAATTGATCAGTCTTTCTCCATTTAAAGGAGTTCATCCTAACTGAAATGTCTAGAATCCTGATCCATGAATCTTTCATCTTGATCCGACATGGGCATTGTAAGATCTCTGTAGCAGGAAGGTATTAACAGTTGAGCGGTTCGTGTGATACTGTCAATCTGTTGCATCCAGGTGGCTACGAAGGTTACCGGCCCTCTTTCTCCAACACTCCAAACAGTGGCTACGGACAGTCGCAGTTCAGCACGCCTCGCGACTACTCCAACAGCAGCTATCAGCGGGTAACGAGAGACTCCGTCTTCTGCATCAGCGGTCACCTCTAGTTAGAGAGTAAAAACGTTATTCCTGTGCAGTAATTATCATCTTGAAGTAATACACTTTTGAGTTACAGCAAAAAAAACAAAACATTTTGACCTTTGAAATTCTACATTTCTGTGGAAATTGTGGTTGAAGGGGCTTTACGGGGTTTTATTAAATTTTCAAAAGCATTTTAAACCAGTTCTTGGTTTCTGGTTATGGTCTTTAACAGATGCCCTTTTCAGTTCGTTATTGGTTCCGGCGTAAGAAGTGCTTTTGTTCGGATGATGTGCAGCCCATGCAGGAGTGTGTGTGACTGCTTTTCTCTTGTCTTCCCAGGATGGGTACCAACAGAACTACAAGCGTGGAGCCGGCCCGGGGCCTCGAGGTTGCTCTCGAGGTAATGCTCAAGTGATGCGTTCCTAAAGGCTTTCGGACTGGAAAACTTAGGCCACACAAAACATTAAGATGAGAATGCGGTTTCCCCTGCCCACTTCTTTTTTTTTTTTAAACTCATCAGTGGTATAAACCTTTTTTTTTTTGGCTGTTTAATCAGAGTTGAGCCTGCTTTGATTACATTTAAAAACTATCGTAACGTTTTAATGAGGTTAAGCTTGCGCCAAGCATCTGAACATCTCTTTTGCATAAAGAAATTAAGCAAGCCTGTTTTAAAAAGGATATTCCTGTACACTTGAAAGATTTTCATTAATTTATTTTTTTGTAAAAAAAGTAAATCGCAAAAAAAACTGCCACTGCTGGTCCAAAACCTGGGAGTATTTCACCTCCTCTTGGTTATTGCCAATTCGTTTATTTTTTTCATTACATTTTAAAGAGACTCCCACAGGTTACTCAGTTTGTAAATTGATGTTGCTTCTTGAGAGAAAGTTTCAATAAAGATGTGTTGCATTACCTGCTGTCTGCTGCTCAGTTTCTTTTCATTGTCCCTGTTCCTCACTTTTTTGGGGCTCTGTGTGTGCTGGAATTTGCAGCAAAGTCATGCGCCTAATTTTATGTCGCTCAGGCACTCCATTCACTCAGTACAGAGCCTGGGAATGCCTGAGGTTTTCTACTAACCATTGTTTTGAGGTGCAGGACTTTACTGGAATTAAAGGTGTCTTTTGCTTTCCTGTTTTTCTTCTGTTCAGTTGCTCTGGCCTGCATTACAGCAAGCTGCATTTACAATAAGCTGTGTGAGAAAGGAGCTGAATCTTTTGCCTGAGGATTTTCAGTGTTATTAGTTATTTTTTGTTTAGTGATTACTCTCACCTCTGATGGGAAAAAGCCTTTTATCGTAGCCCTAATATTTTCCTCTATGTAGAAGTTCTCATTATTTTCCTTGGGCAACAGATTTGGACACCCTCTCCAGCCAGTACACATTGTCACATAGCTTTTGCCTGCAGGGAAGAATAATTATAAATCCAAATGGAAAATGTTACCTTTTCTTTTCAAACTTTTGCATCTCCAATTGTAAAATATTTCCATACCAAGATTGTCCAAAACAGAATTTTTAACACTTAAAACACTCAAGTTACATATTCCTACCTTTGACAATTTTCTCAAGTAGCTCCCTATCTCATCCAATACACTTCATAATACTTTAACTAAATGGCACAAACTTTTTATTTTGTGCTAAGAGGAACAAGTAATTGGACCTTCTCCTATTTGAAACTCAAAAGCAATGTGCGCTGGAGAAGTTGATCTATCCATTTTTGGAAGAGATGGGTTGCAACACTGAAATAAGGACTATATTGAGGAACATTTACATTGTGCGTTAGTATTGAAAGTAATTTTATAATTGGAATTCTAGTGGCCAATTGCCATTTCATTTTTCACTATTGTGTATAATGTGGTTTAATTCTAATCTCCCTTTTCTTGATTTATATTTGGGGTATTTCAGTAACCTGGGACAGGGGCGTTGTCTGGGAAATGCAATTAAAGTATCGGCTACCAGCAAGTATATTTACAGCTTTAACTTACACTGGCATGTCTGCTTTGGCTTATTTTCCAGATGCTTTCTGTTGCAAACATTGTTGCAAGTGTAGTGCCATGTTAGACTGTATTGGAATTGAAGATGTAGATGACCTGTAATTTTGTTCATCTTAATTTAAAGGTGTCCTTGACACTGGTTCTTGATCATCTCCCATTCTGTAAGGCATGAGTGGTTTACTTGGAAAAGTTTTCCATGTTGGGGAAATATCTACAACTAGTGCTTCAGGAAGTGCGATGATTGGAATTGGTACTGAAAGCTTAGTTCAATTTGGCTCAAATAAAAGCAGATTCAAAAAGTCTCTTCACAGTTTCCCCCATAGAAGGCTTTTCCTAGACCACAGTCTTGGACATTTTTCTTGCTCTTTAAAGGATAAAGGCACCTTGCTGGGTTATCCACATGCTGGTTTCCTTGCACTCGCCAGTTCAGTCTCTCCAGCACATGTGGATCATTATCGCGATTATGCTTGTCCAATGTACTATGAAATGTACCCGTCTTAATTCTTTATTCATTTCACAAAACGGTGTCCTATTTGACAAACTGCAATCGATAAGCTTTAAGCACTCCCTTTTTCTTCAGAAATGGACAATTGTATGTAGCCAGCAGGACAAGCCACAACCACCTTTTACCTTGTGCCACCGAAGTACAAAACTCCTTGTGACCCCTGTCTGAGAATTTGCTAACCTCATTGGTCAGAGAGGGATTTTTAAGAGTCCTCACTTTAAGATGCAAGTAAAGCTAAAGTCTTTTGTGGAAGATAAAATCCCTACATTTTGAAGCACTCTGCTGTTCTGGAAGACTATTTGCCAAAGGCTTCTGTGTAGGTACGACTGTACATCCTTCTAAGACAATTTTCATCCTCCGAGTTTTTCATTTCTCTTGTTAAAGCTTTTTTTTTCCTCTGTAGTTTCTACCCTTCATTTTATCGTTCAGGAAGGTCTTCACTGCCCAGACAGAAGGGATACAAATGTAGTGTTTAACCCCCACTGGGGAAGAGAACTACTGAATTTTTGTTAGGTCTCTTATATAAGACTGTCCTTTGTGATTCATTTAGTATAATTAAATCGAGGAATTCCCTTTATTGAGTTAGTCGTGCTCTTCTTCACATTTTTTGGTTTTAAACTTATTCTTCAGTGTATTTCATGATCTCACTAGATCAACAGACTCAATAGAAGCTCTGGAAAGGAATCCTTTCCTGTGACATGAACGAAATACTGCACGTCTGGTTATGTGCATGTGACGTCCATTTATTCTGTGCAAAGCACCTTTGAAAGGAAGTGTGTGGCGGGGCTCCAGGGTTAATGTTTTGTTTTGTTTTTTGTGGTTTGCAGGTCGTGGGGGACCATACAGGCCTGGAAGAGGGATTCCCCACATGACGGCTCAACAGGCTAATTAACACGGACTTCGCTGTCAGTATCTGAAACCTTGTAACACCTACTCTCCTCCCAACACAGGACGCACCCCTTCCTATCCCGGTTCTTCAGATCCCATGAACATCTGGTCACTGGTGCAGACCTAACCGTGCTTTTTATGAGTCATTCGCCCACTATGTGGGAGGAAGGATCACTGGCGTCTGCAGAGCAACATCCCCACAGGATCTTTCTGTAAAACCCAAAGTTGTCCCTCAATCCTTCGCTGTTATGACCTTTACAAAAATGAACAGGAAACATTTTGTGCCTTTATCATTAAAATGATTTGTAGATGATCGCAGATTGTCCAGAAATGTGAAAATGGTTAAGAAGGACATTCTTTTACTATAGATTCAAATAAGCCCTTGAATCCCCAGACTTCCAAGACCTGGAAGCCTTGTCAAGTTGTTTTCACATGACAGCTCTGTCAACCCGTCATGCAGGCACTGCTGATAAACTCATTTACAGTACAGAAACTACGAATTTGTATATTGGTATGCAACAAATTTGCAAAACATACAGCCAAGCATGGACGTAGCTCATATGGTACCAATAAGGTGCATGGGCCATGAAGATCTCAGAAAAACGCATGGCAAACTACAACCCTAAGGAGCACATCTGAACTTCATGGTAACTTTTCCCTTCAAGCTGCTGCTAGACTGCACATTCTATGTATATAATGGAAAGCTGCATATCTTGGAACAGGATAGGGGGTGTCAACATATAAATTAATTAGCATTTACAGTACCAAGCTAATTAGGAATCCCATGTAGTCTGAATATGATATCAAATTCTGATTTCATCTGTGGTCTCAACCAGCCTCATTTCTCTGGTTCTAAATCCCAATGTTTTTTTTCTTCAGTATGGCAGTGTCTCAAGGCAGACTGGTTAAAGTTGGTGAGAGATGCGAGAGTGGGAAGCAATCGTTAACCTTATAAAGAGCTTACCATTTGTATGCAATTGCAGTAAAGTGGACCAGATAGAACCTGGAGCTTGTTCTGCTGTCGCAAAGCTTTTCTTTTCAAGGCAAGTCATTAAAAAGTTAAAACCCAAGTCTTGCCTAGTATTAAGAGTCAGATCAGATATCTTAGGATGAATGGACTTCCATATAGTTGCCGGGCATTTGACACTGGAATTACATAACACTGTTGCTTTCTCCACCTTTTTTTCTAGTAGCATTTCGTGTTGATCAGACAAGGACACATCTCACTCATATGATGTGCCTAATGGGTACACTGACTCTCCAGTTTTGAGTAAGCGCCCACTGAACATCACCACTTTACTGATGGCATAATGTGGCTGTGGACAAATGTGAATGTGGTTGAATTGTTAAAAGGCTTGAAGCAGGTGGGAAAAAGTATTTGTAGGCTCCACTGCACACTGCCATTCCTTGTATATTATAGTTTTTACATACTCAAAGTTTTGTGCTCCCTCTTGGATATTGGATAGTGCAAATAGTTTAATTTACTCCAAATATTTTCTCTAGTGCTTTTTTGTGGCTTCTTGACAGTCAGTCGGGCACATTACATGACAGCACACTTTTGTTATAACACAAATGCATTTAATTGATTTAAGTCTTGTGTCTTATTCCGTTTATCAGGCTAGTGTTTCTTCAGCTTATTAAAACCTTTGTTTCTGCTTTTCTCAGGTGTCAATGCACTGTCAGGTCCTGAATTCCTTGCTACAGTACTTTTATTTAGATAAGAGATGAGCTGGAAGGAGGACCTATCATGAGTCTTCCTTCTATGTACTGTATTTAACAATGAAAGAACCCTCCTGTCTTTTAGATCCTCATTTGTTTTGCAGTGTAAAAGGGAACAAAATTAAATGTAGCCAACAGAGTGCTTCTGTTGCTCACATGCATCTGTTTGCCTGTAGGAACAGCACTTGGAGAGTGGAAAGGGTTTCTAGGTACTTGAATTATGAAGGAAATATTTTCTTTCCCAACAAAGCTGACAGAAACTCTTGAAAAAACCTACACAGTGTCTGATGCTGTTTGCCACTAGATATTTATGCTATACCCCTGTAAGTAGTATGGCAGAATACATGAGAAAATGTGAACATCATTCTGTAAATAAAGCCTTGAAGATGTGCCTGTCATGGATCATTTGGGCTATAGGGGCCCCTTGTGACTTCATGGAAATTGCAAAGTGTTTACACAAAGGACTGCTGATGCAGAACAAAACCACCTGTAAATTCTAGTAAAAAAACCCTTACAATTTACATGATTTTTTTTCCAATAGAACATATAGTAACTTTTGATTTGAAAATTTTAGCACTATATACACAGTTACTATAACTTGAGTAGCCATAGTAAAAGAAAAAAAAACCTTGTGGTAACATACATTGAGCTTTTTTATGAGTGTGTGTGTGCAGTTCTGAATGTGACACATTTGCCACTTACAGCCAAGAATGATCCCTGTACAAATAAATGCCATGCTTATGGGAAGTGTATGGTTTTCCCATCGGCCCTCTGTATCTGTAAGCCTCTTGTGTTGGTCCAACTGGTTTGTAGGCTGGGCTGTCAACTGCTAACTGTGCGTTCAATTCCTGCACCCAGTGGCAGGCATTTCAGAAACTCCTTGCTCCACCTGCCTCCAGAAAAGTAAGATTACAAACTGGACCACAGACAACTTCTGTCACAGCACATTGTCAGTGACTTGATCTACAGTCATACTACCTAGTATACTTGCTCAAAATTAAATTGACCAATTCATAGACTATAGGACAGCTGTTTGGTTTCTCTTCTTTCACATGGTGAAGATGAAAGCTTAAGACTTGGGTCATTAAGCATTTTTATGAAGTGTAGGACTGCTTGAATTTGTAGAATACTGGTACAATGTAAATTATATTTGGGTTGAACAATTATGGAGGAATATTGTTTTTAATTCAGTCTGGATGCAAGAACACAATAGCTGCACTTATTTGATTGATCTGTTGAAAGCCTGAACATTTAATGTGATTTTCTGAGAATAGTGATAGAATTGCAATATACAGTATAAGAGTGTGCACACTCTGATACATTACAGCTAATCTACCAGTTCAAGCAAGTATCTTCAGACTCTTAACTGAACCCATTTCTTTTGGGATGAGAGGTCAGATACCTGTACTAGAGATTTTCAACATCATTTCAATTAATTTTCTGGCTTTAGATTTTTCCACGCTCTTTTAATGTAATAAACGATGCTGTTTATGTTTTGATGTACTTTGAAATGTGGACCGAAATGAACTCCATCTTTTTGGCTCTAGGAGGTGTTTAATTGAATTGATAAGGGTAGAGTTCAGCTTTCAATCTTTCAGTCAGTACACTATATGATACTGTATTGATTCGCCTTATGTAATTGGCCGATTCTAATAATTTAATAATTAAACCTTTTAGGTCTACTTACATGGAGCTTGGCCTTCAGTGTCAAGGAGCCTATTTTTAAGTGTGGTTGTAGTGTACTGAGAATACCATTGATCCATTCAGACATTTCCTTGCAGTTCAGTTACTGTATTGTATACTGTGCTGTATACTGAAGAGCGTGAACTGCGGTACTTTTTAAATTAAAAATCTGTAAATGCCAGTTTCAGTGGTTTTGATTTGGTCAAGTCAGCTTAATTTTGAACTGCCTGGTTTACTGGTGGCATTGTGATGTAGACCAAAAACATCTGTGGAGTCCTGTGGTGGAAAAAAATAAAAGGTGTTTTTATAAAACATGTGCGTTCTCAATTTTTCATAGGCTGATTCAGTTAAGCAGGTTTGATGTCATGGCATGTATTTTAACTGCCGAAGCACATTTCATACTTTTTTTCCTAGTAGATAAGTATCTTATAAATCACACATCTAAAAACATTAAATGATACAGATAAAAACTCCTAGCTTATTTGCTTGTTTGTGGATCCATAACCATTTCTTCTGTACAATCATGGGTTCGGTCAGGGTTTTAGGCGTTCATATAAAGGAAAACAGCTTTCATTGGCCGATTATCAAACTTGATTGGGAACCCAAAATACAGAAGAGGTTAGAAAAAGACAAAAATTAACGGACACAGCGTGAGCCTGAATTCTCTCCTCAACCGTCCGCACCACACTTTCCCCTGGGTCAGAGATTGTATAAAACGTCTCACACTAAACAAACTACCACAGTAAAAATAAACCTAAATAAGAACATAAAATACAAATTATATATGTCTCCCACTTCAAAGAAACCCGTGGTACAGCGCCTCAGCCAGTGATCAAATGATAGAAAACGTACTTCCATCAAACTGACGAATATAATGGTGAAAACGCACTGGTCTTAAGCTTTAAAGACTTTACAAACTTTCAAACTGTGATGTCGGATTGCTTGCATTTCTTTTCAACGCCACGAATGGAAGCTGAAAACAGTTTATGCATTTCATTCCGCCGTTTCTGAAAATACAACATGCCAAAATCACTATATGAGATAATGAAACAAGGCTTGAGAAAGGTATGTGATTAGGGTTTGTCACAAATCACCAGTTTTAAGATTAAACCGCTTAATGGCGCCTTACTAAAGCACAGCACGCGTCCCCAGCGTGCTAACATAAACTCTACATCTATGACAAATGACCTATTGAACCTGTCGACATTTTCTAATTAAAAAATTGCCAAAACAACTTTATATTTTTCATTTTTATTTAAAAACTGTTTGCTCACACTACTAATGTGATATAACTTTTTACGGGCAATCGCTGAGGCAGCTATGTTATGGGTCCTTCCTCGGTCAGGGGACCTTGCTGTGACTGCGTCTCCACGTGAGTTTGGTCAGGAACTGGAAGAGTTCGAGAATCCTAAACTTGATTCTGCGGAAAAAGATTATTTTGTTGATGCCTTCAAATCTTGCATGAGGTAGACTTAAAAGCATTTGATTCCTAAATTACTCGCTTTATTTTTTTGTTTCAGAGCTGCTTTTCTGATAATCGGTAACGTTTGGCATCCATATCACACTGGCGTTTGCTTGAAAACATGCTCCGCGATTTCATTCTCAGTTACGTTTTTTAAATTCTTAGATTAGTTAACGTTTGCCTGCAATTCTCGTTTTTTTAAGGCAATACAACAACAAAATGGTAAAAGTGTTTTAGTGTTTTGTTCAAACGTGTAATGTGTAGTAATTCCTAAATGAATCCGAACAAAGTTTGCATTATTCATTGTTAACTACACTGTGACGAGGTATTTGTTACCAAAGAGTGAAATAGTCCTGACATACAGAAGCGGTAACATGTACATTGAACACTGTTCTTCATTACTAAGATTGGTATTGTTGACCTGCACTCTTTTAAACTACTTTATCCAGGCACAATATACGTCAGGCCAATTCGATTCTGCATTTCTTGCGTGTTTACGTTCACAAATCCGTCTTTTCTTCTAGTGAAAATTATATTTGATTTTCCGTGGTTCTTAGTAATGCTGAGGAAATGAAATTTGACAATAATGGTTTGTGCTGTATATTGTGCCATCCTTTAAGGATAGGTTGCTAACATTCCTGTTAATAAAGCCACAATAATCATAATCTTCACCTTTTAAAGGTCTTTACGATGTGGTTTAGATGAGTTTCTCATTCTACCGGTGTCTTCCTCACAGCACAGATTAAAACAGAACAATGTTCCGGAAGAAAGTGGACAATCGGATCCGTGTGCAGATCGAGAATGGGGTAGCGCAGCATCACCGCACGCTGTTCGTTGTGGTGGGAGATCATGGAAGAGATCAGGTAACTTCTTGGTATACAACGTGGTTGTCGGTTTGTTTTAAAAGACGCAGAAAAAAAACAATCCCTTGAATTTAAGCACTTAATGATCTTGTTTTAGTCTCAGTGTCTTGGCCACATAAAGCGACCTTATACCTTGTGATCAGGACTGTTGATGGATGCAAGATGAGACCTTTCAAAGCTTTACAAGCCAACAGCAGAATTTTAACTCAGGAACAGAGGTTATATGACCACATGAATAAAAACCTGATAAAAATTCTAGCTGCTCAATTTGAATGGGCCAGCCACTGCCTGGGATTGATGAGCTTCTGCCAGTCAGGATGCCCTTTGCCTGTCCTGGCCTTGACCTGCCACATGCCTGTGATCTTGCACTGTTGTCAGTGGGGCTGCTCCGCTTGGTGCTTATTCAGCTGTGCAGCCTGCTCGTCTCAGCAGTCAGCAAGTGGTGCGTGGATCTCACGGCACAGGGCATGAGGGTCACAGCACTGAGAGGAGTGAATTGTAGTCGGGTGGGGGGGTCTAAAAAGGACATATTGGTTCCCTTTCTTTTTAAAGGAAAGCTGCTTTGCTTGAGAATTTTCCATTGAAATGTTTTTGCATGGGTTATGGACAGCACCAAGGCGCAGTGGTTAACATTGCTGCCTTGCAGTGCTTGGGCACTGGAATCAATTCCAGACCTGGGGTGCTATCTGCATGGATTTTGCATGTTCTCCCAGTGTTTGTGTGGGTTTCCTCCCACAGTCCAAAGCTTAATTGGGTGCTGAGAAAATGTTTGCTGGTTTCCTGGTGTGAGTGTGTGCCAACCTGCAGTGGACTGGCAGCCCATCAGGATGTATCCTGCCTTGTGCCCATTGCTTGCCGGGACAGGATGAAACGATTAGAAAAGGCATGGATGGATAGATTATGCAATAATGAATAGCCGAATGAGAGAAAACCTGCAGTCATTGGGCCACGTTTTACCAATGGTCAAACAAGCATGGTTAATCACTTAATGTTCATTTCTCTGTGCACTGAATGCTGTAAGCTTTGGGAAGTGTTGTTTGGAGCTTTGTTGCAGCAAATGTTAGATGGGAGGAGAATTTTACCCCATTTTGCTCCTCTTGATTGTTAACATCTTAGTGTTGAACTTTGCAAAAAAAAAAAAAGCTCCTGTTCAATACAGAAATCGCTATACATCGAAGCAGAAGGAAAAGAATGATGAAGCACAGGAGCAATGAAATGACGAGGATTTGTGGATGATGGTATCTGTCTAAAACAGCAGAACATTGGCTGCATCTTCACCCTTGTCTTGCTGTCTGCAGGTGGTCATTCTGCATCACATGTTGTCCAAGGCCACAGTGAAGGCCCGTCCCTCCGTCCTCTGGTGCTATAAGAAGGATCTGGGCTTCAGCAGGTACATGGTCTCAAAGAGGCATTCTTCCTAGAACTGTGGATTGCAAAGTCTCTGGAAAAAGTGAACAGCACTGGCAGTAGACACTCAACCCACTCCCAGTACGCGCAACAGTTGTGCTCTGAAGATATCGTAAATATGTCCACATACAGTAGACTCGGTGCTGTCAGCTGAAAGGTTAATGAATTATTGATTGAGCTGCATTCCCGACAGGGTGTTATCTTAAAGGTTATGTTACTAAAGAATCGTTATTTTTTTAACAAGTCAGAGGTTTCGAATTAAACATTGAACTGACAATCCTTGAAAATTTCTGCATTTCATTCTATTTATCTGTATTTTTCTATAATTTCTGAATTTCTTTAGAATAAATAAGTTGTGAACACCTATTGGCCTTAAACCATCAGACTTTACTTAACTCTGCAGATGTCATTTACATCAAACTCGACATGAATCTCCAAGAATAACTCAAATTTGTAGAAATGCTGGATTCAGAAACAACATTTCTGCTGCATAGATACTCACTGTGGACTGTGAGCTTTGTACAATAGTCATGTGATAAAATTAATCTTGGTAACATGGCTAGCTCAGTAAAAAACTAAAACCAATGATTGTTTAATCACACAATAACTTATTTACAATTTACGTTTAAAGTAGATTTTCTTTTAGATTGTTTTTGACTTGCTGTAAGAAATTGCATTAAAGGATTACGGTATTGTGGCTTCAAGGAAGCTCACAGAAGCTGTGAATTTTTCTTTTGCAAATGAATTTTCCTCTTGCTCAGTCACCGCAAGAAGAGGATGAGGCAGCTGCAGAAAAAGATCAAAACTGGCACCTTGAACCTGAAGCAAGACGATCCCTTCGAGCTCTTCGTCGCTGCAACCAACATCCGCTACTGCTACTACAACGAGACCCACAAGATCCTGGGAAACACCTATGGCATGTGCATCTTGCAGGTTGGTGAGATCCAGCCTCGCCACTATCCCGTCCGCCAGTGTTTTATGTTCCCCACACGGAGGATTACATATCATTCTCCTGACTCTTAATAGTGGTCAAAGTGTTTCCGGAAGATTTTGTCTTAATGGCAGCCTTTTAATTTGTGTCTCTGTGCCCATGTGCCATTTTTCACTCCTAAGCCTCTATGCAGATTTTATTTTTGTTTCGTAAAATATAGATAAAAATTTTTCTTCTCTTTATTTTCAACATGACAGTCAAACGAGTATGTTTTTTTTTCCACTTTCACTTGACTGTATTTTACTTTTGGTAAAACTTGTGGATTCAATGCTCTGGAAGCTTAGGTGAGTTTTTTCACCCTGACGTTCAAGGTATCTGTGGTATGAAAGGATATTGAAGTGTTTTAAGACAGGTTAGGTAACTTATTGCCAGTCCTTTTCTTTGACTTCTCTATGCACCTTCACAATTCAGATCTTGAAGTAACTCCTGAATGATCAGCTGCTGTTGACTCTTCTGGAATTTGTTTTCTTTTTAAAGGACTTTGAGGCCTTAACACCTAATCTCCTGGCCAGAACTATTGAGACAGTGGAAGGTGGTGGACTAATAGTCATTCTTCTCAGAACAATGAACTCCCTCAAACAGTTATACACCATGACAATGGTAAGAATTGGAATGGTAAAGATGTGTAGATATTATAGAAGACTTTGAAGCATGGTGAAAAAAGTAATTCAGTTATAGGACTGCAGGGGCTGTATTAAATACAGTTACCTCTCTATTTCCCTATTAGTTTAAAATCTTCTTCCAGGTGTTTGTGTTATCGCTTTCTGAAATTCATTTTTAGTAATTAACAATTATAAAAATATCTGAAGGCTGCAGAAGCAGTCGTCTAATTGCTCAGTGTAAAACAACCTTGTGAATCAAATAATATTAATCCTTCTAGCATTAAAATAAGTGGGTGGCACAGTGGTGTGGAACCTAGTGCTGCTGTTTAGCAGCTCTTCAGTTCTGGACTTGGATGCCATCTATGTTGCGTTTGTATGTTCTCTGCTGTTTGGGTGGGCTCTCTCCAGGAGCTCAAGGTTCCTCTTGTTTTCCATGATGGCTAGAGTAATTGACGTCTCTGAATGTTGTGCTTCTGCTTGTGGGGGAGTGTGGGCTACTCCAGGGCGAAGTCTCACCTTGTGCCTTATGCTGAAGGAAGAAGTGGTTTTCCGCTAGAGTGTATTATGATAACTGTGTTCTTGATCCAAATGAAAGAAAAGCACAGAAAGGGGTGAATGCTAAGAACTGGGCTGGAGTACTTAGTGGATTATCACAGGGATCTGTGTTTAGATCACTGCTCGTTCTAATTTGTAATTTTAGATTCTTTGGTTGACGAGTTTGTCAAATTCGCAGATTATACTGAAATAAGTAGATGAGCAAACACGTGAAGAAGGAGGAAAGGAAATTCAAGCACATGTGACAGAATCCTACACTGGGCAAATGTGTGGCAGATAGACAAGTGCAGAGTGTTGAATGAAGGGTGTAAGAACAGAAACTGTAAACACTGAGCTTGAAGAAGCCACTTCTAAACATTATTTAGGTGTTTAAATTGACATTATAATTTTACATCTTCTAGACAGGGCGGGAGGGGCTCTAACAAATATTTAGATGAATTGTAAATTAAATTACAATTACCCTTAAATACTTAAAACACTCCATGTGCTGTTCTAAGATATTTGGAGAATGACAAAAGACTTTTCTGTTAGTAAAGTGTTCCCTCTCCAGACCTTGGGCATTATATGTTCTTTTTAACAATTGAGCTCTGGTATGTACTTAAACAAACAGCCCAGGGTATTTATTACTGATGAGGAAGTGAAATGCTCAATGTCAATATTTAAAGTGTCCCTCACTCTTTAATGGAGTAACACTTAAGGTTAGATACTTTGTTTCTAGCTGCACGGACAATCCTTGAATTATTTCAGAAACAGAGAGCTCTCTTGAAGTTTCCTGTTAAACTGAATTTATCGTTGCAGAGATAAATAAGAGACAATTGATTTATGTATGTGACTTTTAAACTGATATATTTATGTAAAAGTTTGAACACAATTAGATTTCTGTAGTTCTTGGGAAAGAGCAATTCTTCTTGAGAAAGAACTTTCATCCCACCGACTGTGCCTATGTGCTGATCACACAGTCCCTGTTAAAGCTCATCTGTCTGTTGCTCAGGATGTCCATGCCCGCTACAGAACAGAAGCACACCAGGATGTCATTGGCAGGTTTAATGAAAGGTATGTTGATTTAATACAGTTAATTCATGAGTTTAATGTTGAAAAAATGACAAAGGCTGCAAATGTTTGCTATTTGGGACATGCTTTTATGAAGCAGGAATAGTCTTGTGTCTTGTGTACAATATCTACAATTTGAACTGCTGTTCTCTGTTGTATACATTGTGGACTAGTTATTTCCCTACCATGGTTCTGAATACTTTAAAGGATATGAATTGTCATTAGACATCATAAATTAAACCATCAAAAAATTTCAAGGAGTTGAGCGTTTACGCAGCTGTTTAAAGCAGCAGCATCTGAAGAGCTGGGAGAAGCTGTTAAATTGGCCCAGTTATCCAGAATCAGAATCAAGCTGGTTTAGCTCCTTACCAGACAAGATGGAATTAAACCTCACAGAACCACCGGCCCTCCAAGACCAGTAGTGACCTCTGGCAGTGCAACATCTAGCAAATCTTCCAACTGAAATGATTTTTTTGGGGTTTTCACTGGTTTAAAATTATACTAGGAGTTTTTATCTTTCAAAGTTGTCCTATTTCTTCTGTGTTATTTTAGCAAGTGCGAGTGTTGATCATAAACTAAAGGGAATTGAGAGCACGTTTTAATGTTCTTCAGAGCAGTATTTCATCATTCCGTCATGATGCTCAGACAGACCTTTCTTGTTTTTATAAGTATGACATTCTGATAGCACATGTTTGAGTACTGTGTGTTGCATTCAGACCAATATGTCAGTTGCAAAATAAATGCTGTGGAAGTTTAGACATATTTCATTTTTCTATTTACCTGTATGAATATATTGTTTAATACTTTATTATATGAATTTATAGTTTCACCTTCTTCCTCGGTGAAACTATAAGTGTTTGTTGGGTTTTAAATGATTCCTGTCTCTTTTTTTTTTGTTTATTTTTTAATTTATTTTTCTACCTAGGTTCATACTGTCTCTGACCTCCTGCAAGAACTGTGTTGTGATTGATGACCAGCTAAACGTCTTACCTGTTTCGAGCCACATTGCCAACATTAAGCCAGTACCTCCCAAGATTCAGGTAGGACAGTCAATAATGGATGGATGACCTTCAGTTTCATTAAATGGGTGATATAGAAACCTGTATTATACCTGTATTATAACTTTCCAACGGGTTGCTGTTTTGTCATCAATTATTATACATTTGTATGTGCTTGCCATTATTTTTCATTTTAATGACATACAGTAATAAACTTTGTGAAACTTCCTGTCATAAACAGCATTTCAGTGTGCTCTTTAGGGTGTTTCCCAAAATGTTACCATTTATGCTTTGTAATTGATCAAACAATGCAGAATTAAATCTTGGTGAAGTGTGGCGTTCAGTTAAGTTAAATTGAACAATTGAACTAAGCCTGTTAAAGACCTTTAACAGAAATGTCTTAAGGTCTCAGAAGTTGTCTTTGCTCTTTGTGTTTGTTTCTAAATAAGCCATCATAGACTGTATCTTTGGGCTTGGTGGGGTCTCTCCCCAGGAGGACAGCCTGTCGCCACAGGAGCAGGAGCTGAAGGAGCTGAAGGAGTCCCTCCAAGATACGCAGCCTGTGGGAGTGCTGGTGGACAGCTGCAAAACCCTGGACCAGGTCAGGAGTCTGGGGTGGAGTGGCTAAGAAACAGGCTCATATATACATGAGGCCAGGCTATCCATGTCCTCTAGAACCATGACAATGTTTAATTATGAGTAGCATTGAAATAATACAGTGGGCTTTTGCTTCACATCCTTAATGTGACTTCAGCAGGTCCAATACTTCTTGTACACGTCCCAGAATGAAGGTACACCTCGCCTGTCTGCAGCATGCTTCTCAGTCGCAATAGATGTGGGCACGTGTGACTGTTCTGTGGCTGTCTCTCCAGGCCAGGGCAGTGCTGAAGTTCATTGAAGCCATTTCGGAGAAGACCCTGCGGAGCACTGTCGCTCTGACTGCGGCCAGGGGTCGAGGCAAGTCTGCAGCGCTGGGTCTGGCTGTCGCTGGAGCTGTGGCTTTCGGGTAAAGTTTCCCATCTTCCCTCTGCCAGACTTTGGTTAGGGTAGAACCAAAGGAGATGACGCTTCCTGAAGGAGTACGCCAGCGTTGGATTTGTGAAGACATGCTTTTGACTTATTTCCCCCTCCCTTCCACCAGGTACTCCAACATCTTTGTGACATCACCCAGCCCAGACAACCTGCACACCCTCTTCGAGTTCATTTTCAAGGGCTTTGATGCACTTCAGTACCAAGTAATCCTTGTTGTTTCTTTTGTCGAATACCAGTATGCTCCCTAAATGGGAATCTCAGTTTCACTTTATGTAGGTACAGTGTAAGGAGCTGCCTTCAAATGTTTTGTGATTTTGTTTCTCAGGAGCACCTGGACTATGAAATCATCCAGTCTTTGAATCCAGAGTTTAACAAAGCTGTTGTCAGAGTTAATATTTTTAAAGAGCATCGGCAGACAATTCAGGTAAGAGGTCTTGCTACATCTAGCAGATTTAGAAATGTTAGGACAGAGGTTCACTATTATTAGATGTCTGATGATATTGTGGTCAAGTACACTTTTGTTTTTATTTTGTTGTAAAAGCACGCTCGGTGGCCGTGTTCTAGCCTGACCTCTGAACTCTGTGTGCACCCCGCAGTATATCCACCCTGGTGACGCGGTGAAGCTGGGCCAGGCCGAGCTCCTGGTGATTGACGAGGCCGCTGCCATTCCCCTGCCCCTGGTGAAGAGGCTGCTGGGGCCCTACCTTGTCTTCATGGCCTCCACTATCAACGGGTCCGTACCTGGGGCCTAGGGAACAATCACTGGCTCCTTCCAGCCCTCTTTAAGTACCTGCTTTAGTGTGTTGTAAACCGAAAGACTCGAGAAGATGACAAATATTGGAGAGTTCAGAATCAGGCTGAGTCAGCTGCCTGGTTAAGGTCTAATGTTTAATTTAGAGGTATATTAGTCAGATTCACTCAGTCATAAATTGAGAACATTTGGCATTCGCACACAAAAGTATTACGCAGATCTAAATAAGGTTAATAGAATTTCAGCTGTTATGTAACAAAGTTGAGAAATTACAACTGATTAGCTTGTTTCATCTTTTTTGATTAGGGAGGAGTTTGTAAACCTTCCTCGGGATAAGAATAGGGTTGTTTGTTGTCTTGTCCTGATTGATTCCATGTCTCTCTCTTGGTGTGCTGTTGAATACACAGTATGTGTCGCTGAGGAGCTTGTTCCTCTCCCCCTGTGGTGCAGGTATGAAGGCACAGGTCGCTCGCTGTCCCTCAAGCTCATCCAGCAGCTCAGGCAGCAGAGCGCGCAGAGCCAGCAGAGCTGCTTGACTGCGGAGAACAAGAACAGCACCACCGCCCGCCTGGCCTCAGGTGACTGCGGACGACAGCCCCAGCCCTCCACTAACCTTCTGTGAAAAGTCATTTCTGTGATAACAGCCCAAAAGCCTTACATGATAACACATTTTTAAACCATATTTTTGTCAGAATATTGTGGAGAAAATGTGGGTCTGGAAAGTCGTTCCGGCGTTTATTCCTACATCTGTTCTTGCATCTTTAAAAAAAACAGTAGAGGGGTAATCACCTCTTTCATGTCCTGTACCTAGATGGTCAAGGGAACCTGAAATCTCTGTGCTGTTGTTGAAGATTTAAAGTAGTGAGTGCTGGGCTGGCTCTCAGTCCTAACCCTGCAGGTCCTCCAGTGTCATGTAGCTATCGGACCGACTCTCTGTATCGACAGCCCGCTCTCTTCATGAGGTGTCTCTGCAAGAGTCCATCCGCTACGCCCCGGGAGACGCTGTAGAGAAGTGGCTCAATGACCTGCTGTGTCTGGACTGTCTTAGCATCCCTCGGGTTATCTCAGGCTGCCCGCTGCCACAGACCTGCGAACTGTATCCTTCACTGGTCACGTTTCTGGTACAACGGGTCCAAAACTAAATGTGAAATGTGTTGCTTTTTTTTCCCTTTGTGTTGTTCTCCAGCAATTCCATGTTATTTAAAAATTTGATGTTCATTTTCCAGTTAATGTGGAAAATATTTTTTGAAAAACAAGAAAACCACAGCATAGGTGCTGAGGTCAATTACTACAAAATGAGACCAGAAAGGACATCGATTATTTTAATTTAGATTTGTTTAGCCACTGCAATCAATTGATGGTTCACTTTTTAACAGTGCCTTATGAAAGCTGTAATTTGTGTGTCATTGGATTTCCAAGCTCTTGTTGTGCCCTTAATTCCCCTTGTGCAGATATTATGTGAACAGGGACACGCTGTTCTGTTACCACAAGGCCTCGGAGGCTTTCTTGCAGCGGCTGATGGCTCTGTACGTGGCTTCGCATTACAAGGTGTGTAGTAGTAGTGTGGAAGGGGCCTGGCTTGTGTGTCCTTGTGTTGAGTGTGAGCTGGTGTTCAATAAGTTGGTGGGGTAACTTATTTTATCTCAGCAGATGCTTAAGGGTTGCAGAATGTGCGTTAAATTGCAAAATATGTAATTTGAAGATCTTGTGCTCGAGTAATGTGAGAAGTTGAAGTTGTGCACTGTGGGTGTTCTGGATGACCTCAAGACTGTGGAATTCTTTTATTGTGCATAGTGCAGTGATTAAACCTTTTAAAACATGCCAGTTCATGATGTTGTTAAACATGCAGATTGATTTGTACATTCAGTAAAACGACACTAGCTTCTTAAGTTTGAATGTTTTTTGTACTAAAGGTGCTTTATATACATTGTATTTTAAAAGTGTTAATAGCACACTGCAATAAGGTATGGTTTACAGGAGTTGATGATACAGGGTTATAAATAAACAAATTTATAAATACACAACAAAGCATCAGAAATTTGGTGGTAACAAAGTCACTAAGCCACAGAACATCATAATGAGATGAGATGATGTGGATTTATTACGTCATGAATATGAGATATTATGATAATGGAATGTACATTTCCCGAATCTTCTCTCTGTTCTAGAACTCTCCCAATGACCTCCAGATGCTCTCCGATGCCCCTGCACATCACCTCTTCTGTCTGCTCCCTCCTGTCCCACCTACCCAGAATTCTCTGCCTGAAGTTCTAGCTGTAATACAGGTAGGAAAAGCCAGGAATCCAAGCCTTGTTTGTAGGAGGGTAACTGACCATGACGCTGTACCTGCTTAGGATTTTTAACTGTCAGGGTCCTGGTTTATGTCTCATGCTGCAGTTTGATGCTTAAGAAAACTGAGCATTTCTGAGTTACTTTAAGTATGACCACATTACATAGACAATACAGGATCCAATAGGGTGATGAGGGGATGATGTATTCGATATGACATGACATTGAAGCACTATTTTTACATTTGTGGACAGCAGTTAAATGCAATTCTGTAATATTGCTTCTCTTGTTTAGTTCATAATTCATCCTTATAGTAAACCTTTTATGTTTAACTTGGATTTCACTCTCTATATATTATCAAATTCTAAGGGTAGTAAAATCTATGGTCTGCAAGAATTTGTTTTTTCTGTACCCAATGCAAAGCATCCTGTGTTTCTTTGTAATTAATGGTACTGCCAAAGCAGTATAGTAGTGTTCTCTTTGAGCTGGAGTGAAGTGTTGATATCCTTCTTTAACTGTTGGTTAGGTGTGCTTGGAGGGGGAGATTTCCCGTCAGTCCATCCTGAACAGCCTGTCTCGTGGGAAGAAAGCCTCTGGAGACCTCATCCCCTGGACAGTCTCTGAGCAGGTACGCTCTCCACTGACACCATGTTGATAAGATTGTCAAAACTCCCTCCTTTCATTCACTTCATCCACAGAAGGCAAGGAATGCACTTCATAGTCATAAAATGTCATTTTTGTTCCTCATGTATATGTGATATGACACTTGCCATTGTTTTTCATTTGAAGTGCATGCAGTTTTCATTTAAAAATGAAATGAGGCCAGTGATTGTAATTGTAATTGTAAATGTAATTGGTGCATACTTTTCCAGATTTTTAATATTGTGGTAGAATACAAACCTAAAAAAGAAGAGATATTGCTAATCTGGAATCAGTCCAGAGAAAATCAACCACATGAATTCCATGACTTAAGGGAATGTCATACGGTGTCAAACGGAAGGAACTAAACATTTTTAATTATGACCAGAGAAGATTGCAGGAACTTGATCCAAGAATTCAAAAATTCTCAAAAGGCGTCGATAAAGTAAAACCAGCAGACTTCTTCAGAATAAAAACACTGAAATATGAGCTAGAAGACACACGTGGAAACTACAAGAAACTTCCTTTAATATTGAGAACAGGAAGCACTTCGTTACCCGAAGGGTTGTGTACGTAACAAACGCACACAAACGCACAACTTCTCAACCATGTTGCTGAAGCTGGTTCCTTGGCTTCTTTCACAAAACAGCTGGATGTGGTCCATTAGCTATTACCTGCCAGTGAGGTGGGCCGACCAGCCTCCTCTCGTCTCTAACAGGTGTTCTCGTGGTGCACCACTTTGCTGCTCAAGAATGTGTCTGAATCTGTGTGCTGTCTTCTCAGTTTCAAGACCCCGAGTTCGGCAGCCTGTCTGGAGGGAGAGTCATACGTATAGCAGTTCACCCAGATTACCAGGGGGTAAGTCTTCCCACTCCCATTCTGTTCCTCTGCGAAGAACGTAAATGAGCACTGCTGGAGCAGCCGAATAAGACCGAAGAACTCGGGCTGATTCTTTCAGTTGTTACAATTGCATCTGCAGTGTACACAGACTTGATTTCCGTTGCGAGAATGCACTGGATAGGGTCGTGTCAGAAGCCAGTGTAATTATGCGGGCTCACAGCCCGTTTGCAGGTGCTAAGTTCCCTGTCGTGACGATAGCCGTGGAAGGTCCTGCTCAACGCAGAAGGACAGTTGCATTTACAAATAATGGCCTATGCATAGTTAATTTGAGCAAATCTGAAATGTACAGTATCTTCAGCAAAACGGAAACATGTAGTGAATCCTTTGGGCAGTAATGATGTTGAAGCAAAGTGCTTCACTCCTAAGACGGTTGGCACAGGTTGATGGGGTCGGAGCCTCTGACACCCTCTAAATGCCCTCTGTCCCTGTGTTGCAGATGGGCTATGGCACTCGGGCTTTGCAGCTGTTGCAGCTGTACTACGAGGGTCAGTTCCCAGGTCTGGAGGAAACTGTTGAGAACACAGCCAGCGAGATCACCCCTGTCAGCAGTGAGGTAAGAACCACTGTGAGCAGTTCAGCAGAGCATCATGCCGCCTGGTTCTTGAGGGATTTTAAGAGCTTTGTGTCAGTTTTAACTGATACTTCGATCAGAAAGGGGAAATTCAAAAGTGCGAGACAGTGGAAAATTTTAAAGACGGTGTGATGGACGGCCGCAGTTGAACTTTGATCGAAGCGTGGTAATAAAAGACTGACCTTAAGAACTGAGCAGTACTATAAGACGTGCAGCGAGGAAGATATCTCTCCGGGCACAGGAATATGGAAAGCTTTACCTGCCTGTCACCCTCCCGAGCCCGACTTTTGGTGGTCTTTTGTTGCCCTTGTTGTTGGGCCACTCTGGTCAAAGCCAGGCCTAAAGGGTTGTGTCCGTGGGCAGGCTGTCAGTCTTCTGGAAGAAGTGGTGGCACCCAGGAAGAACCTCCCTCCTCTCCTGCTGAAGCTGAGTGAGCGGCCTGCAGAGAAACTGGACTACCTGGGTGTCTCCTATGGCCTCACCCCTCCCCTTCTCAAGTGAGTGTCTGCGGGTCTCAAGGCGTCGGTCTCCTGAGGCACAACAAGGGCCGGCCTGTCTGCTCTCCGGCAGTGAATGAAACTCTCTTAAATCTTCAGGTTTATTTTGGCAGATTCTAATTCTTATGTTTAATGCTGTACCAAAGAGGATGTTTTGCAGTGTGCTTTTATTTTGTGCCCACTAGGCAAAATAAATTATTGTTTGTTTAGATTATATAATATTCCAGGTATACTGGTCACAAGTAAGCGATTCCTATTTGTAAACCAAATTTGTTTTTCAGATTCTGGAAGCGAGCTGGATTTGTTCCAGTTTATCTAAGGCAAACTCCGGTAATTTTTTTTAGAACGTCTTTCAACAGTCGTATACAAATGTGCTGTGCTCTGTGTTCACTGTGTGTCTCTTTCCCAGGATCTCTGAAGCTTCTGCAAACCTTTGTTAATTTCACAGGCTTTCTAATTAGAAAACTGAATCTGTAGAAAATTCCAATTCTGTTTTCCATTCTTTACGTTTCTAAATTACAGTACAAAAAAGGCTTTGGGGGGGTAGAGCCCTTGATGTGTTGATGCTGTAAAACCTAAGCTCTCAGTCCTTTATCTGGCTTGTGTACTGGTGTGCCCCCAGAACGACCTGACAGGCGAGCACTCCTGTGTCATGCTGAAGGACCTGAGCACTGAAGAGGCCTCACAGCAGGGCCAGTGGCTCTCGGCCTTCTGGAAGGGTGAGTCTCCTTATATATTCCATGTTTATGTAGTTTTTTTCATAAGCATCTTTTAAAAGAAGATTCACTTCTTTTTGCCTTAATACTGAAAACTATACAAGGTCCCGGGTACTTAGAAGAACAAAACTGGGTTTGAATAATAATTGAGAGAAAAGATAATGTTTTTATCCCGGTTGTTTAGAACTTTTTCTCCGGGTGTGGTTGGGTGTGTGCTGGACTGAAACTCAAGGAGATTCTCTGTTCCTCTGACCTACCCAGATTTCCGCCGCCGGTTCCTGGCGCTGCTCTCCTACCAGTTCAGCGGCTTCCCCCCCACCCTGGCGCTCAACGTGCTGCAGAACAAGAACGCGAAGCAGGACCCCCAGCCTGGTGAGCCCTCTTCAGCTCTCATCTTTCCAGCAGAGGGCACTCCCACTTCTAACTAAGAACGGACCAGCTATGACATAAGACTGATAATCTTGGATTTGTAAAAAGAGTTTAACGCTGGTGCTTTTAACACTACTTGGGACGTTCTACTGCATTATATGTGCCTTTTGATCTTTAGTAATGTATAGTGCATCAGCTTAATAGTTTCAGAATTAATTTTCAATTTTCTGTCCTTTGACTGAGGAGTCCTTTCACCTACACTGGTGAAGGGGCACCTTAGAAATGTTGCAACCTATGATGTGAAGCACTTCAATAAAAGGAGATGGATTTATGTATTTGCAAAGGATGATGGATGGTCCATCTGTGCTGTACCTAACCCCGGTTTTTCTCTTCCGTCTCTCTCTCAGTGCTGACTCGTGCCGAGCTGGCCGCACACTTCAGCCCCTATGACCTGAAGCGTTTGGAGATGTACTCCAGGAACATGGTGGACTACCACCTCATCATGGACTTGATCCCAACTATTTCCAGGATGTTCTTCCTCAAGCAGCTTGGCGACATCTCGCTGTCAGCGGCGCAGTCTGTACGTAAACCTGCCCAGGAGTAATGAATCTTTCCCACCAGCAGATTCCACACTGTCCTCTATTGCGTAGGAACGCATACACACAGCACTCGTTCATTGATTGATCAGGCAATATGTTTCTTACCTTATCATCTCATGTTCAGTCCTCATTGGTCTCCGTTTCCTCTGAAGGCCGCTTTTAGCGTTTCCTAGTCCTTCTGATTCACTCATGTGTTAGCGGTAACGTCTCGTGACGATGGTGCTTGAGCTGCACTCTTAATGGCTTTTCTGGTTTTCTGGAAGCCAGGCACTCCTGCTGGGCATCGGGCTGCAGCACAAGACTGTTGACCAGCTGGAAAAGGAGATTGAGCTTCCCAGCAGCCAGCTGATGGGCCTGTTCAACCGTCTCATCCGCAAAATGGTGCAGGTGAGTGCCCTACCCTCTCCTCACTCGCCATTCACCAGTCCTGGCAGGCTAAAGCTCCTGGTTTCAGATTCATCCAGTTTAGAAGGACACTTGATATTTGTCTTGCAGGAATCTCCCAATCATGGACTGAATAGCTAAGATGTGATTTTTTTTCCTGTTTTCTCTTGTCTGTTTTTCTCTGTTGAGATGATAAACGGAGATGTTTGTGCATCGCCAGCCGGCTGGCTGGGTGTTGCGTGGGTGTGCACGGTTGCATGATTGAGCACCTTTGCTGAAAGACTTGTTTTTATTTCCGTTATTCAGAGCTTGTATTCCCTCTCCTTGCCCTCTCCCCATTACAGTTTTTCACCAGAATTGAGGAAAAGGCGGTGGAAGAGCAGATGGTGGCCTCAAAGGACATCACAATGGAACCCACAGTGAAAACCCTCAGTGAAGATCTGGTGTGGATCACACTTTCATTGGATTGATGTCTTCCCCCCCCCCAATATGTATCGGGACAAAGAAATCGTAACTGCATTGTACATTTGCACAAATTATCCATCCACCCGTTTTCAACTACTTCCAATTCATAGTCATGGGGGAGCCAGAGCCTACCCCAGCATGCAACGGGTGGCAGGCAGGGTACGCTCTGGATGGGACGCCGGTCTGTCACAGGGTAGACAGCCGCAAATGCTCATACCAGAGCCAGTTTTCTCAGGCGTCAGTTAACCCTACCATTGTTTTTGGACTGTGGGAGGAAACTGGAGTGCCCGGAGGAAACCC